TGAGCTTGGTCGAAGAGAAAGCCAGCTGCGGTATTGTAGGATTTTGGATCAAAGAACACTTGAGCCCCTGCTGCCACCTTCCTCCCTTAATGACACATTGGTGGAGGAGACACCTGGCTTTATTTATGGATTGTTTTTCCGAAATGCCATAGGATGGTCAGTAGCCATGCAAGCCCAAGCTGTGTCATGTTGTTCTTGTCTGCAAAGTTTGTTTCAACGTTACCTTGACCTCGTATCCACGAAAGCGCAATGATGTAATTGTACTCCATATTTATGGGTTTCTTAGTACGATTAGAATCACAGATAATGCAAAGCATTTGTCACTCTTGAACAGACGTCTAAATGCTGAGACAGTATGACAGTAAACCCATTATCATCCAGCACTTTCGATCAGCACTTTAAACCTGCATACACACACACTCCACAAGCTTGTTATATTCCTCACAATTTTCACATAATACCATCAGTGTATATAATGTTCTCCCTTTACCTAAGTTTGTCCTAATGGACTGTGTTTGCCTCGCAGTATGCTGGCCGATAAGCTGAATATGACTCCCGAGGAGGCAGAAAGATGGATCGTCAACCTCATTCGCAATGCCAGGCTGGATGCCAAAATCGACTCCAAACTGGTGAGAGTCTCTCATATTTTATTTCACTCTTGTTTCTCTGCCGCCCTCCTCAAATGGCGAACGATTGATAGATGCTGCGTTAGTGTCCTTTAATTAGTCCAAAAATCAAATTCAGCCTCTTTTGTGCGGGGATTATGTTCTGCTTTAATACATAAAGGAGAGGCAATCAATTACGTCAGTAATTCTGCGCAGTGCCCGCTTACTCACCATATCCTTCCTTGAGGGTAAGAGGACTGAAGGAGGGTCATTCCCAATATTGTGACAAACACGTAGCTTCACTTTTTAGTCATGACAAAGATTAGTATTCTATAAACTATTAAAATTCTAGAAAAGTGTATATATATATATATATATATATATATATATATATTGTATTTACTTGTTTTTACACTTGTTAGACCCTGCATTAATGCCTAACCCAGACAAACAAAATAATAATTATAATATATAATAAGTAATAATAAATCATTTTAAATGTATCATTAATGCTAAAAACTATTTGATAATACAAGTTCAGATGAAGTTTAATTGGCATTATAAATTTGCCTATGGTGATTTTCCCCCACCACTTAATACATTGTATTATATTGTTTAAATTAATACATTTAAAAAATCTTAAGTTTTAATGTTTTATACCACTTAAACTTTTGGGCCACTAAGATTTGTTTTATGTTTTGAAAGTAATCCGTAATATTGTGAAATATGATTTATCCAGCTTTTATTAATATGATGTGAAGATGACAACTTCCATGATTCCACACTTGTTTGCAACGTCATCGAACTACCTTTGTTATTTGTCATACTCCAGTTTTCAGTGTCACGTGATCTTTCAAAATCATTCTAATACGCTGATGTGGTGCTCAAAACCATTTCATCTTATTATCATCAATTGTATTTTTTGGAAACTGATCTTTTTTTTCAGGATTATTTGAGGAATAGAAAGTTCAAAAAGCAGTATTTGAAAAAGAAATCTTTTGTAATGCTATGTCTTAACTGTAAACTTTGGTTAATTGAATGAGTTCATGCCTAATACAAGTATTAATTAAATTTTTTTTAAACTGATAAATTTCAAGCAGTTTTTATATATATATATATATATATATATATATGTGAAATACTTTTTTTTGTCAAAAGGTCTAGGAACTTAACATGTCATAACACCACAAACAAGTATTGAGACTTGTATTCTAATCTCACAAATCACATGGCATTCTACTGGAATGACCTAGAATTAGCTCCTGTGTGTTTTGAGCTGACTGTGAGGAGGTTGTGAATACAGGTCTGTGGGAACAGAAAAGGATTGGTGTTCCCTGAGTTTAGCTCTGACACTCTTTTCCTCTCCTCTTTCCTTTGGCAGGGACACGTGGTGATGGGCAACAACGCCATATCGCCATATCAGCAGGTGATCGAGAAAACCAAGAGCCTTTCGTTCCGCAGCCAAATGCTGGCCATGAACATCGAGAAGAAGCAGACCAACGCGAACAGGACTGAGGTCAGCATCTCTCCATCTCTTTTATCTGATCTCATCTCATTTTGTCTTGAGCCCTGTAGTTTACACACACACAAATGATCTATCCAGAAGAATGCTGAGCGGCAATCAGCCCAGAACTGTCTTTACACAGTGTAAACCAGTAAGAGCAGGTTTAACACAGCGAGCGCTTTCATCATGCCGTTTTTCTTCAAAGGCTTAATGACAAGGTAGCACAGCTCAGCCATAAAGAAGAAGGTCTGAGTCCCATGACTCAGCGCTGCAGAGTAAATAACGCTTGCACACAATCACACACACACACGCTCCATGGAGTTCCCTGCGTTTAGGAGTCACCACAGATGTTTTGCTTGGGGTCCAGTCGGTCTCCGTTTGATCTTGTGTGTGTGCACTGATTGGCTCACGACAAACGTGCCCTCTCTTTTGTTTGAAATGGAACGTTTCCAAAATAACGGCCTTTAAATGTCTCGGTCCCTCAAACCACGTCATTTTAAGTGACTCAACTCGCACAAACACCACAATGGCAAAGGTCATAACACGTGTTTGGTCAGACGCAATTTAATTGAATATTTTTCTCTTTCCCAACGGAAAAGGTGCGAACGTGAACTCAAACTGCTTGTTCTTGCGAAACGACTGCGGTTTTGTAGCATATACCCTCAGTTGCATGTTCAGTCATTTATAATGAACTCACCTTCATTTGTGTTGGATAATAACATCTTTTGGCTCTCTCTTCCTCTCTATTCAGACTCCAAACTGGGCGGGTCAGGATTCTGGCTTCTGAGTGGATCTGTGCAGACCGTACGCTCCCATCTAACCCTCCAGCATTCCCATATTGCGGCCGAACATCCTGTTCTCCCTCTCGTGTCCCTCAAAGGAGCGAGACGGAGGCCTTATTTTTGCACTTGGGTTCAATGCATCTGGTATTAAATAAAAAAAAAAAACACGTATAAAACCATCTTCACCTCATGCTTGCATTTTATTCCTGGACATTACGAATGGTGGTTGAGGGTTAAGTGGTTGTGATCTTTTGTGTAATAGATGAAGTTTTAATGTGCTCTGAGTCACTGAGTGGGATTGGGGGGTTTTGTGCTGCTGCACATGCATGCGCCGTAATGATGAATGAGTGTTTAGTCTGCTGCGTTTACGGCCCTGTTATGCGAAGAGGGCACGGAAAGGTGATCATGCCCAACTCTCGTTGTCATTTTCAATGCCGCTCGTCCTCTTCGTTCGCAGACGGGCACGTCAGATGCGCTATACAATCAACGTAATGCCTCTCCACCTTTCCCATCTCATCCCATCGTCCACGCATGACACCTACAGTCTAACGCTCTATACGTTTGCTATTTCTATCCCTGCCGTTCGCAGACGCTGCAGGCTGGGATTCGAAGCGTGTCTTAATGTCTGCTTTGGCCTCTCTATCAGCTGACATGTTTATGGGCCCTGTCTCTCTGGACGAGTGAAGAGGGGGCTTATAGCTGCCACAGCGCTCGGGCTCCCAGCCAGACATCTAAAACAACTGACGTCACCTTTACTTTCCCAGCGAGCAGGCGGGGAGGAAGGGGAGGGGGGTGGGCTAAAGTGATTGGTTTACCGGTCCTGTGCCATGACACATTACGAAAATAAAACCCTCCTAGCCCTTAATTATCACATTCACCTTAGGAGTGCTGTCTCAGATGTTGTTTTAGTAAGACATCCAGACCAACAGCAGACGTGCGGCTGAGAAGGTTGTCCACCACAACGTCTGTCACTTCACTTAAAATAAATAAACAAACACCCAAACGAAAAGGTCACCGTAGGTTTTGGTTAAAAGGGCTTCATAATCTTTCCCTTTTTCGCATTGTTCATTCCTTTTCCCCTACGTGAAAAGGTTAAGGCATTTGTTCAAACACAGGCCACATAATTAAAATATACAACGCATGTTCCCTAATAAATTTTTTTGTCGGGATTATTCCTTGAGTCTTGTTTTCCAACTTGGAAATGCATTTTACAAGGTAATGCCTATATTTAGAGTAGCTTTTCCGTAATTTGAGCGATCACTGCTGCAGTGTCTGTCCTATTGCAGAAGCTTTAAATAGTCAGGGAATCACTTGTTTTGAATTTAGGTTTGTGTGTAGTTTGCACTCAAATGTCTATCCACTATATGGGTACTTCAGGTACTTTTAAGGAGGAAAGCAACCTGATACAACTGGCAGGTGAATAAATGCATATCTTCAATAAGATTTTTTTAATGAGAAATGATACTCTATTGTGTTGTACTGATGGAGAGAAATAGCTGTCATATAATTAACATTGACTTTAGGAGATTTTCACTTTGATCTGAACATCAAAGGGCTCTTGAGGAGAGAGTGTCATCATCTCTTAGAAATGACAAATGTTTTTTTTTTCCTGAGGAGGGTAACGGAGATTCTGCGCGGACTGTTTTTAAGGACGGTTGGACTTTCCTGGGGCGTATATAAAGTGCTGCCTTGCTTAACACCTGTTTGGTATACATAAGTATATTGGTACCTGAATCTGTGCTGCACATCTTGACCTAACCTGGAAGAGTTCTAGCTAATCTGAGCCAAACTGTTAAAAGGGGGAAATACATTTTAAGATGAAGTTAAAGAACATGGAGAAAAAAATGATATAAAAATAAAAGATTAAGTGCCACACCTAGTGGTCAAGCTGGGTAAAACATTTCTTGCATTTCAAAGCAATTAATGTTCATTTTGGCAAAGAAGCTTCTCATGGAAAATTGTCTCAGCAGCACTCATTCTTTTTGTATTATAAATGATTCAAAAACGTCTGTAAACTCATTTTAATATCTTAAATGAAAGCTGTTATTATTGACCTGAGTAGATTAAGTTGTATTAATGCCTATATATATATATATATATATACAAACTGAGACATTTGCATCATTATAACGGGGATAATAGGAGTACAAATAATTTTTCCTTCTCATAATGTATTATTTTTAGTTTTCTGATTTCATCCAGGCTGAAAAATCAAACAAACAAAAAAACACGTATCAGGTTTCTCAGTCTGGCCAAACTAAAGTTCAGCTGGTTTATTGGGTTGCCAAGCTTGTAATATCAGCTGAAAAATTGCTAACAGAGACCAGTAAATACCAGCAAAACCAACGTAGGCTGCTTTAATTTTTTGTTTGTTTTGCCAACAGGATACAACAATAACAGGAAAATTGCAGCTCAGGTACTGTATGCAGTATTATAAGTTGTATTTTATGTGATGTTACTGGTTTTCATTTATTTGTATGTGTCAGGTTTATGATTAGAGAAATAAATAATAATAATTTAATGAATAAACTACAAATTGAACAATACTTTTAATCCAAGCCAATGCACTAGGACCCTGGGGAAGCTCATCTGTGTTGTATAGATACAGTAGGAGAAATTCCATTTGTCATCTTCTAAAACTTAAACAAGGAGGGGGGAAACACAGCCCTTTCTCTGGCCGAGGGGCTTCTGAAAGTGCTCCGAAAAAACCCACAAGATCTTGGGAGTCTCCACGTGACAGCAGCGCCTATATAGCATCAGCACCAGTAGAGTGATACTCCATCACCAGCCGAGCACTGCAGCATATGCCACAGTTACACACACACACATCCTCATGCACCTCAAGGGTTTATTCTAGAGCTTTTGCATACTATTGCATCCATGTGTTTTCTCACTCTGTCTAGGGGACGAAAGGACTAAACTTTTCCTGCGAGAGGGATGCTGGATGTTCCAAGTCCACTTTGGCAGTCGGAAGGAACTTGATGTATAGGCAAAGTTTCTCTTTTTTTGGACTGGACTCACGCAGGTATATTTCTTTCGCTCTGTGCATCTACTTTTGAGGGCACCCATCTCGTCTCGTGCGCTTTTGGAGATTCGCTAATTCCTTCAGTCGTTTTGAATGAAATAGTTCACTGGCAAACACATTGATCCATCAAGGTTTATGTTTTAGTCAAAGAAGCTCAAGATAGAAGCTTTTTCTTTCTCCACAGACATTAACGAGACACTTTTTTGTGTGTAAAAAGCACGTTTCGCTCTCTAATATGACATCAACCGGTGGTGAGAAATGGTGTTTTCTCTATGTGTGACACAACCGAGTCCGGACTCCTCAACTCCCTGCTCTTCTGTGGAAAAATATACATATTGAAACCTCATATACGGACCTTGAAGGCTCGCGGCGAGTACCTTTGACGCTTTCTACCGTGAGTCGGGACAATCATACAGCCGCCCAGATGCAGTTTCGTCTGTTCTCATTTGCGCTGATCGTGTTGAACTGTGTGGACTACAGCCACTGTCAGACGCAGCAGTCTCACCGCTGGAGAAGAAACAAAAGAGGTGAGTGTCCTCCTGTGTGCGTGTGGATTTGATAAAAGCTTCAGTTTTTTTTCATTCACAAATTAGTCATTTAAGTTAGTTGTCGCTTCTACATAGACAGACTTTTGGTAAGCGCATGACAGGGACAGTCCCACCTGGTGTTACGCTACTTCGTCACACAAATACCATGGTAACAGTAGCACGCATTCCATATATTTTTGTCAATTTAACTTTTTCGATGGAAGTGGTGGCAGGTTGCCATAGTTTTACAAATGTAAAAAATAACTAGTTTGAACTATTTGGCGAAAATGCATCGTTACCATGGTAATTTTTGTAGAACGAGGTTCGCTGAGAGATGTGCATGGATCATTTAATTCTACGTTTACGGTTAAGTTAATACTAAGGTAAGTTAAGTTAAGTTTGCACTGGGCTCCGCAACTTCTCGAAGTTTTAGTCACACGCACGTTGGCAAAACGTTTAAAAATAAGACGCTTTTATTTTTATTTTTAATTAACATAGAGTGAGTAAATAACCTGTTACTCGTCCATGTAACGTTAGCGATGTGTTTTGTTGTCGCCTATATTTTTGTCATGTTGAAGTGAGTCCAAGAAAGGAGTTTTAGGACATTTAGCCTACTGTCTGAATTTTAAAAAGTCAAGGGTTGTTGCTACCTTTAAGACTAAAATTTAGGATTGGGATTGAGTTTCAGCATCTGTTCCTGTCAGAGAAAGCTTTACTGTGTCTCCATTTGATGCATAAAGATGACGTTTTAAAGGTTCAAACGTGAAAAAAGCGTATCGTTTTTTTTCCCACCGGCGTCATGTTTAACTAGCCTTCATTACTCCTTTAATTTGTTATAAATTACGGCGCCCATTGTGTAACGGAGAAGAGCTTAACACACATTTTAGGTTGGTAGACAACATGACATGAACAACTGAGAGCCGTTTAAAAATAATAATAATAGATCAGTAAGCTGAAAAGTTTGACAGAGTGCGTTACTTTCGTCTACAGATGTTTCGTCCACTTCTACTAAACGTAAGTAGCTATCTATATCATTATAAATTCACACATTTATCATTTAATGTTTTGCATTGAAAGTCTTTAAGTTTCTAGAGAAGGTTGGATGTGTTAACCACACCATAAAATATTTGTTCTATTTTAAAAAAAATAAAAGTCTGATTAATCCACATTTACTGAAGCCTTAACATATTTTTGATGTCAAATCTCATTTTGATTGTGATGAGTTGGTTAGTTCACGCTGTGTTCATTGCAGGCTATGATAATCCCAAAGAATATGGGCAATTCATTCTCAAAGTACTGTAGAACAGACCCTCACAGTGCGGCACTGTCTGGTTGCCATTTGATGAGTTGAGCTTTCCTTTCCCCTTTTCAAATGCACTGACCCCCCTCTTGCCCTAAGCCGCTTTTAATTGATCTCACAGACAGACAGTATTGATTAAGTTTTGAACAACTGCTGCAAGTATAACAATCCACACTTAAGATCCACAGGGATTTAACCCATCAGTAAATATAAGGGGCCGCCTTGCTCAGCCAATGCATACGGGCCCGGGGTGGGGGCTGGAAGTCAAACATTTCAAACTTAACTGTCCCACCAAAGCCTTAAACTCTTGAACATCATTCATTCACTGCATGTGACAGGACAACCGCCTACATGTCTCCCAATTGAACTTGAGCCCAAATAAAGACACTTGCTGTCACCATGGCAGATATGCGCTCTTAAATCCACAGAGATGTAAATTGGTAAGCATTCATAGATTTAATCATATGCACGGCATGCCAGGGGAAACCTCTGCTCCGGCTTAGAGCCCCAACCACTGCCCATCTGCAAATAATCAGCCAGACACTGTAGGGAACTGGCACACACAAGTTTTCAGCCCCACTGTTTTTCTACAAGATTTGCGATTTCAGATACTACGTAATATAATTTTCTTAATAGGATCAAACTTGTTGGCAGAGGCAGACTAGTTAAGCATTTTCAGGAGGATTGAAAGATTTTGATGGGGAAAATGGTGGCAGGAGTGCATCTGGAGGTGAGCGGGATCCTTTGTACTGAATTTGTAAATCGATGGTGATGCATGCCTTTTGAGTTGGAACCTGCAAACTGAAAGGTGTGTGTACCATGTGGCTTGTTGCGGTTTGAAATGCCATTAAGCTTTTAGATGTGCTTCGTTGCTATATTTATCATGCTTATTGAGGGCTGTATCACTATTCAATTGAGTCTAAAACACTGAAGTGTTTTTCTTGCCCTCGGCACACTTGAGACTTTTTCTGGCTTGCTTGTTGTGTGCACTACCATCCCACATCACCCCAGCGGCACGGTCAATCCTCTTGAACCGTGTTTTACTAGGCTTTGTCTTAACCACCCCACAAGTGTGCTTATTTGCAACAGATACTCCACTAAAGCTGAGCAGACTGAAATCGAAGCTCAAATCATACTTTTTCCGTGTTTTTGTTCGTGATTGGTTTTGTCTCAGCTCTTTGCATTCACACAGCCTTATAACAAAGCCAACAGAAAGACACATTAAATTTGCACCTCTGTACCCCCATTCAGTGCTTTACAGATGCCAGCAAGTTTGCAATGATATCATTGCTTGGCCCAGGGGTAATACTTTTCATTTTTATTCTTTGGCTAATGATGCCACCTGCTGACTACATAAAACTGTGGGCTCGCGTACCAGCGCAGACTAGAGAACATTCTCATACTGGACTTGTGGGTTTGACAGGCCAGGCTCAGGAGGGGTGTTAATGCTTTTACCTCAGAGCTACGACTCTCAATACGGCAACTTTTGACTGTTTGGTTTACAGTATATAAAAACAAATTTGAATTTGACCAATCTCTGTACTCAAGCCATCTACTTGCACTTTAAGTGAAACTCTGCACTACGGGAGGTTAAGGAGCGGCTAGCTCTGATGAACGGCCCGATTAAGCTCACAGTAATGGAACTAATAGAAGTCTGTTTCCAGAGAAACACAGTCGCGGTAATCCATGGGAAAGTGGAAGAGAGGAAAGGCTTAGCTCCATCCCTGAGCTCCTCAGCTTCACCCTGAAGGGATTAGGGGGAAAGCACCTGTATTTTAACACTATCGAACAGTTATATCTTAATCTGCTGGCAGCAAACGGCAATCTGTCCCATTATGCCTCAGAAACTGTTTTGTATTGATTAATATTTCATAAAAATGCGACGCAAGATGATCCTATGGTTCATAGTTAATTAAATCCAAACCTATATACGTTTCTTTCTTCTGTGACACACAAAAGATGTCTCTCAATGTTGCTGCTGTTGTTTTTTTTTTTATTGCAATGATGGTCATTGTTTGCATACAGGTTTGGGACAATGTAAGGGTGGGTAAAGATGCAGTAATTTTCATATTTGGATTAACTTTTGATGCAAGAGACTCAATGCATGTAATTAGAGAATACATGTAAGAAAAAATGGCCTGAGCGGTTAAACTGCGAGAGTGTAGGATGTAAAAGACTTCTTTGTTATTAAAATCTGTCCGGGAAGACGTCTAAAATGAGTAAGGACAGAAAGAACTGTTTAGAGCTATGCCTTCTACAAGTTTACGTAAGGTCCCAGGTTTATGGGTGTAAGTGTTAATGTTGGCTCTTGCTATGTCCGTGCCATTTAATGTCCTGATGAAGTGCGTGACAGGATGGGTGACTGCTCCAGAGTCTCTTTATTTAAGAAAAGAAAAAAACACTCTGCCATTCTTCTTTTGGAAAATGTGACATTTCCTTTCATTCTAATCCATAATGGAAGTGATGTTTTATGAAATTGATGTTCGTTTAATTTAGTCAAGTACAGCCAACTCTCTCACCCAGCCATTTATTCCGCTGGCCAGGAGTGACTTTTTTTTTATTCCAGCAGGTTAGATGTTGTTGGGTGTGTTCGCTGTGTCCCTTTCCTGTCGCACCACAGCTTTTCATCGATCTGTGGAGTGACCGCTTTGGTGAATCTCTGAGAATTGAGTGTGCGTGAGAGTGAATATCATTAGATGAAGAGTTTGATCTGGGGGCACAGGAAAGACTATAGGGAGAGATGGATGGAATATTTGAGGAGATCAGTTGGTTTAATGGGAGAACCATCACCTGAGATGGATTAAATCTTTTGATGTTCTATCTTTTTTTTTTTTTACCATTCTGCTATCCTGAAGGTTTGTTTTTGTCAGTATGTTTACATTTTTACATTACCTGCAGAATGAGGTACTTGTGGAAATAAATGATCGCATAGAAAGGTTGTAGCATGATTAATTAGCCAACAATTTATGTTACACAATTTTTACAAACCCTTAAAGGGATAGTTCACCCAAAAATGTAAATTCTACCATCATTTACTCACCCTCAAGTTGTTCCAAACCTGTATGAATTTCTTTCTCCTGCAGAACACAAAAGAAGATATTTTTAAGAATATTTGTAACCAAACATACATTGACTTCCATAGTATGGGAAAAACAAAGTCATCAACTGTTTGGGTCCCTATCCCTTTAAATGTATTACTAAAAGACTGTGCCCACATCCTCTTCACTATTAACTCAATTAACTCTGTAAATTTAAACAGTCCCAAACTTGCTGTCCAGACCAGGCATCCTTTGTGCGAACATTTTCCTCATCACCAGGGTACTGCCTCATGTTCAAAGTGGAGCGTTGATGAGAATTTAATGCATGCCGCTCAGAGAAGTTTTGTAACACTTTCCACGCCTTTATTTGTCATGTCGCGGCAGAGAAATACACATTGTGCATTCATAGTTTTTTTTTTTTTTGGTAATGTAACCAAGGGCATCCTCTCCACTGGCCTCAATCGTTGTCATCAGAAGATCCCATGTTGGCAAAGCTAAATGCCAAACAGATGGTTTGCTCTCAGGCTGCAATTTACCACACTGTAAAAGTTCATTTTCGGAAATGTGAAATGAAATAGACTTATTATATAAATCATATTATAATAAGCTCCATATTTCCCAACAGTGATTGAAAAACGCTTTGCCACAGACAAAAAGGTCACTGTGCTTTCTAAATTCCATGAATGTTTTTTACACATGCTCACCTCTATTACTTCCACAATAGCCAGACCCTAAAGTAATTTTACTTTAATGCATTTCTTATAAGGCTGCTAAATATGGTAAGCCAGTTGAGTCTAATTCTCTTGATTTTGAAATTTACAACTTTTGAAAATAGGACTTCCAAGAGGTGAACACAACACAAGTTAACAAATTGTTTAAAATAGTAACTTAAATCATACAATGACACAAATAAGGGATATTTGAAGCTGTATGTAAGAAATTTATTTCAAATAATCATAAAATGGCCCTGATATATCACTAGACATTAAGAAATCATGTTCATTTCAAATACTTATATCACTGACAACAGTAGTCCGGCCAGGATATTGTCATTTAAAAAGTGAAGTTGCAGACCTCAACTGTCATGTTTTGTTTTGGTCTGATGCTCCACCCTCCACCGATCTACCAATCACAAAGTCAGTAGAGTCGCAGCATTCGGGTGGCCAGCTCTGCTCTAGTTACCACAGCTGCAGCTACAAACGTGTGGGATAAAAAATGTTGGATCCTGCAGCCTATCTGGCAACCTCGAGTCAGGGGGGAGGGGATACACCGCTTTACAGTAATTTGAAACTGATTGCAGTACCAGTTTTGGCCACAATCTTAAATACAGCTCCTTTAAATGAGGTGGACATATTCATTGTCTCAATGTTTTTCACCATCAGGAGCCTGAGCTTGCACTTTTAAGATGGCATATCAAGTTAAGCATAGTTCATTTTTAAAAGGTAGGCCTTAAGCCCAATTTATACTTCTGCGTCAAACTCACACCATAGCTACGCCGTAGGCTGTGTGCATCGCGCGTACCTATCAGCACACCCTGACGTCCACCTCTCCAAAAATGTAACAACGCGTTGATTCTACTCGTATCGCGCAAGCACTGTGATTGGTCTGCTAGAACCACTCCCCGTGTTTCACATGCTCCCTCTGCTTGTGTAATTGTGCGTCAACGTGGACAACGA